AAAAAATTACATAAATTAGATCAATAATAATATAAATTATGTGTTAAACTATGAAATTAAGAGATAATTAGCATCACATGTGATAGTGGTGGAAGAAAAGAGAGTTAGAAGCTCCCTCTTCTTAAGTTAGAGGTTTCTATAGAATTTAGTGCTCATTAGTTCATTTTAAATTACATAGAAATATGACTAATTCAACAAACAAGTGAATAATTAACTTGACTTGAGAAAACTAGTTAGTTAATTTAGAAGAATATGCATCACATATAATAACACTCAACAAATTGGTTTTGAAAGCATATTAATCTAGAATCTATATTGATTGATTATGACGAAATCAATGCTTTAATACCCCATATCTTGATTAACTTTACTTTGATTGTTATTTGTTTTTTTTTAATTAATTTTTTTTCCTTTTCGATTGTTCAAATAAATTTAAATTAATTATTTTTTGTACTTGATTAATCAAAATCCTCATGTGTTCAACACTCTTCTCATCATAATATTATTCGGAGTGATTAGTACACTTGCTTGAGTGATTTTTGCGCATCACCCTAGCCTTTTACTAATGTAACCTTTCCTCCTCACCCTAAATAACCAATTTCAAGCACTTTATTTAGCAATATTTACGAGATTTATACTTATTGGAAGCCCTTAAACCTTTCAACTTTAAGACGTTTAGCTTTAAGTTATAAGTTGAGGTTTTCACCCTTTAACAGATTAATAGTATAAGCTTTAGCCCCTTAACCAAGTTTTTCATTATTTGACCGTTACTCCCACTTCTATTTACAAGACACAACTCATGCCCTTTTATAGTTAGTAGAGGTAGACTTTAACTCTAGATTTCACACTTAACTTACTATTATCTAGATGAAATGACATGCCACTTGCTTTGCTCAAAACAAGAAAGATTTCTCCAATGACCTTCTTTTCTTTCTAAGCATGGAACTCAGTTTGTGAGTTGATGAATGAACATCGTAAACTACACCTTAAAGATTAGATGATTGGCAGAAACGAGGGATGATCTTCTTGCACTAAATGGGTAATATGACAAAATGCCCTAGATATGATTCCAAGGACTTTTCCAAACTAATGTAATCAAGAAAAATTAAGACTGCAAGGAAAATAAATTATCGCCAAACTGCCTAAATTTAAAACTGGGTTGAAATAAAGTTCTAAAAAGAAATCTAATTGCAAAAAAAGTAAATTAAGTTAAAGTAAATAAAACTAGAAACATGGAAAATCTAGTAGTAGCATGAAATGTAAATTTGCAAAAATGGAACTGAACATGAAATTAAATGTTAACATCATTTGATTAAATTAAAGGAAACTCAAAAAAAAAGAAAAAAAAGAAAAAAGAAAGCAAGCAATCCGATTATAAAGAAATATTGCTTAAGGCAACAAAAATCACCGTTACAAAACCAACAAAAGGAGAACTGAATTGCTGCCTCTAAGAACTGCAACTAATTTATGGGATTTCTAAAGAAAAAGTCATTAACTAAAGTTGAAAGCCAATCTAGATTGAAGCGTAGAGTTAAAACTAAACTAAAAGGCTTGAGACTAAGATGAATATGAGCATAAAAAAAGATTGTGATGTATTTGTTGTGTAAGAGGCCGGTCCTTTGCTTGATCTCATCATAAAGTATTTATAGCACCTTGGCAGCATGGTGAAAATCTGCAGCAGCATCCTAAAAACCAACGGCAACGTGAAATTTGAAACAAATCAATTTATCTGTTGGTGTTGCAGATTATCCTCTTAGAAGTTCGCAACAAGTGAATGGCTTTGCTGTCGTTGTGGAAATAACCACTCAACCTTATCAGAGAAATTTACACCAATAACCTTCAACCAATGAAATACTTGTCAACAATGATGACATGTGGCATCATCCTATTTGTTGTAAAATTAGATGTAAACACTTACTAAGAAATAAAACTCTAGTCCAATTATTTTGGATTTCAAATTTGAACTTTAACACTTACAATAATTCAATTATAAGGATATCCACCATACAATAAGATTCTCTCATGACTTTTAACTTTACTCTTTTATTATGGTTTTGATCTTGTGTCACTTCTTTTTTGTCGTGTTCATCCAATAATAGCTATCATCATAATTGTATTCTGAAGTGCTATTTTGGAATTCTTGCTAAAAGGACCTAGTAACACTTTTTTCCTTTTGCCTTTTTAACAGTGATTTAACGGAATAAACTTTCAAAGTTGAGGGGCCTAATCTCTCAAGTTTTAAGTTCAAACGCCCTTAAAGATAACAAGTCTAGGAGTGTGTTAGAGGTTCCCACTTACTACTAAGAAAATGCGAACAGACTTAATACTAGCCCTTGTTGCTAACTTGATTAGGTGTCACCAATATTTCCACTCAACAATTGGATTAATGGCTGCCTATTTATTTATTTATGATAAGCTGTCTGTATTTATAGTGTCTATTATTTCATTGGAGGAGAAAAAGTTTGAATTATACACAGCAACACACCTCAAAGAAGGAGATTGTTGCCAGGGGAACATCTTATTACAAGCAAAAGACCACCTGAACAAATTCTGTCCTTGGCTCCATGTTTCATAAAGTAAATCTTCACTGCTTTTAGCCTTGAGATAATCATCCACATCCAACTGCAGCCTTTTAGTGCCCTTTAATGGGAGATGGCTCTGGTGATTTCCAGGCTCTCCAAATCTAATCCCATAGTATTTCCTGTTCACTGAAGTGCAGTCAGGAAATGGGCTCCAACTCCCACGGCTGTTGGTGAAATGATTAACTGAATCCTGTGCAAGGGTTGCTTCCTATTATAAGAGCCAAAAAGTAAGAAAGAAACAGAAGAATTATGGATGGATATGCATAATCTGCGAAGTTTCATTGATAGATGACCTGAGCAAGAGAAAATATGCTAAAAAATGAAATTGGATATTATAACTCCTTCAATTTGAAGTATATTCCCCATTCCCCACAACTATTAGGGCCTGTCTGGTTGCCACTTCCCCTGGCAAAAGGATCTGGAGAAAGTGGCAGCACATGATTTGTCCGGCTGACCTTGGAAATTGACCCAGAAGCAATTAGTGGCAGCACATGATTTGTCCGGCTGACCTTGGAAATTGACCCAGAAGCAATT